TTGGTAGGGCTTATATTTTCAAATCGAGACCCCCAAATTTCACGATAATCTGATTTCACGATAATCCGTAACAATAATTATTAATGAGTGTACTATTGAAGCTTGAATAAGCAGCTTAATAATGACAAATTTAATAATTTCACGTGATGTGATGATCGCTGGGTTCCTGATCTTCAAGTCTCCCAATTTATCTTACTTTAGGTAAGTTGCGTAGCAAATGGAGTAAATTTTTAGGCTTGCTGCTCCGTATGTACAGCGCAGAACAATGCAGAAAATCTGAAACTTTAGTTTACTTATAATACTCATTGGAAATAAGGTATATTTGTTATTTTCAATGGCGGCTTATTAAAGCTTCAGTAGCACACTATTAAGTTGATATAGTTTAATTAAGGGAATTAGAGTTAGTTGATAATTAGGATAAGGGCATGCACTATAAGCAAAATCTCGAGTTTATAACAAAATAATTGTTCTGAAGAAAAGGTTTTCACGAAGGACTACAAAACTTATTATCTGAACCGTTGTGGTATGAGCATCTAGTCGCATCAAATAATTGTATACTGTATAGTTAATATAGTTCGGAAAATTGTCATGTGGAGCCGTCCCGATTCCGAATTGAATCTGGGGTGCGACATATATCATGAACTTTAGTATAGTTTAACGTTAATAAAAATTTTCTGTTTGAGCAATTGAGCGACAATAGATTGGGACAGTATCGATAAGCTAAATATGCTATCCTCAATAGCGGCCTTACGGGTGGATTATGTCACACAAACCGTACCCTTAAATACATATTACCAGATATTTGATTTTAATGTGCTACGTACAGTGCAAGAAATCTAAAACCACAATTATACCTTATTGAGACAGAATACAACTATTTATACATTGTTTTTCACTGCGCCTAAACTAGAGCAAATAAGTATATAAGAGTTCACATTTTTCACTATCACTGTTTATAACCGATCACTATCACTGTTTGTAACCGATAATTTTCGCAACTATGAGTGCATACGATGACTTCTTTGCTAGAGCGCATATTGGTGATAAACCAGTACTTCCTAAGCCAGCAAATGTAATGGGTTCACCAGATATTCAACCTGTCGGTACCGAACCTATTGCTAATCCGAACGAATATTTTATTGGGAAAGATGGGAAAGAGGAGGAATACGAAAAAGATAAAGGCACTGACATCACGAAAGGAGAACGAAACTATATTTATCTCCGTGGTTCCTCAACCTTAGAAACAGAAGGATACGCTGAACTCTACTTCGTACCGTCGTCATTAGTTATGCATCCAAATGGTTGGATGAAGAATAAATTAAAGGATGACGAAGGCAATGACCAAATTCCGTTCAAAGCATCTCCTAACTAATAAATTGTATTGGATAAACCGTTTGTTTGGGACAATCCAGCAACTGATCAACATAACTGCCTTGTATCACGCTTTGTTACAGAAAGGAATCCAAATGAGGTGCCAACAGACTTTTCTGATTGGAATGCTCTCATTAAATGGGTACAGGAGTCACCCGGAATAGGCTGGCGAAATATACATTTTGCTGATCCTAAATTGCCAGAGAAAGAAACAATAGTAGATCTAAATATCCCACATGGGTGGGATATGCATAGTGCTCTGGTATATCTCGAAACAGTTGATATGCCTGTCGGAGTAACCGTGTCATTCTTTTCGGTTGATATTAACCCTCCTTTCAAACTCGAGCCGCAGGAGATTACTTACCCGAATCAAAGTTTTTTTGTTATAGCAAGTTTGCCTACTGGACACACAGGCAAAGTCACTTATAAATATGTAACGAATAGCAAAACTATACCAGATGATGCTAAACTTCATCTTAAAATTGGAAAGTTAACTCCCATTGGTTCCGTAACATCTGTTTTCAAAAGCAGTTAATAAATTTTAAACAACTATCCCAAATGTTTATTTAGAAGACTTTACATAAGGCCATACAAACTTAATAAATTGGTTCTTATAACCCGGCCGGGTCAAATTTTACAAAACTTTAAAAAAAATTTTTAAATATATTTGGGTTTTCTAAAAAATTTTTTATATGTTTTTTTATATATAAAATTTTTTGAAAATCAAATTAAAAACCGGGTTGCCGGGTCACTTTCAAAAATTTTATGTTATGAGAACCGATTTATTAAGTTTGAATGGCCTAATATTATATATTTTTTGATATTCAAGGTCTTTTTAGCTGTTATAAATAAAAAAAAATATTTATTAATTAGCAAACCATATTGGCAAATGTTTGATATTAATGCGCTTGCGACATTGCTACATTTTTTGTTGTAAAAGTCATAATCTGTAATGCCTCATTGCAGAAGCAGCGACTCGTGTGTAATGGTACGATACTAATGCGCGTATTAGTGTCCCTAGTTGGTAAAATTTTGACAGGCCAACTAACTAATCGATTTTTCATATCATGTGACTAAATTTACCGATTAACCAATCAAACCAAAGAAATCTTCACGGATTATCCCGACTCGACGGAATAATTCGGAATTGAACGAATTGATAATTAAATCGATTAATTGTTTTAAAATTTTCTAAATCGATTAGTTGAAAAGTTGTCAACTAGTTGATTTTCAACTAAACGATTCGGATTGCTAGTGCGTATGTACTATGATAGGAACCTGTTATGAAAATATGTCCATATCGATATATGTAAATCAAGTCCGAACCATCACCCGCGGGTGAAAGCGGATAGGGTGCGCAGTAAATAACTAGCAAATTAAATTTGCGCATTTTTAGTATACTAATTGGCAATGTTGTCATGGGACAAGGACGGGACGTCCCGGAAAAATCAAAATTATAATACGTAACTATAAGAACGCCTTGTTAGCCAATCAGGTTGTTTGATAAACCCTTGTGGGAAATTGTCCGGGACATGGGACATCGTCCGGGACTGTCCGTTAGGATGTGAAATAGCATAACAAATACAAAAATAGTGAAGATTATATAATAATTTTTACTAATCAAGATTTTTCCGATGACCTGCATGATCTGCAGCTGGAGACCCGATATTTCCGATAATATATTTTATAATTTGTGATTGATGATCGTAGATAGTAAAAACATATCGGTGTAAAATTTACTGAAATAACTTTTGAGCTACTTAAGATATACGAGTAAAAATACCTTTATTAGATTCATATTCTCTTTAAATAATAGAGCTCTCTTTTTTATTGTCCTAAAATTAATCATGTTTTAGTAATCAGTTTTTGCTTCAACTTATATGAAAAATAAAAAAAGGGTTCTATTACTTTAAAGAGAATGTTAAAAGGAATCTATTAAATATCATTTGCATGCGTCTCATAAGTAGTTTCAGGAGTTATTTAGTTTGAAATTTTTACGTTTTTGTTATTAAAAAGAATGATCGACAAAAATCCACATTATTAAAATTTAATATATGGGCTAGGTGCTGAGAAAAGGGACCAAATTGACAATTTTTTCAAAGGATATTTTTTTACGTAAATTAATTTAAATAAGATTAGAATTATTTTTTACTTAAGACACAAAAGTAATTGTATTAATAAAATTTTGTGGTATAGCTCTTTAAAGTCTGCAATTTCTTATAATTTATTATAAAATTTATAACATAAAAATTGATTTTCCGAAGATCTTTTTTTTTGTCAATTTGGTCCCTTTTCTCAGCACCTAGCCCATATGACCTTCACGATGTTTGTAGATCATATGACATTTCACACCCTAACTGTCCGTGTCCATGCAGTTTCAACGGGACAACATCCGTGTACAACACTGCTAATTGGTTTTCACATATAAAGAGGTTTCTAGATCGGTCCTATCTTATTCATGTTGAATAAATTATCGTTATTGATTTAATCTATTAAGCTTGCAGCATTTATTTTATATTACATACCTTAATGTGTCTACTTCATTTGCGTAAAAATAGTAGGTGCGTTAATTTTAGTTCATTCTCTGACAGCAACTAGGAGCCATCGGAAAATAAACTGAGTTCAAATAATAAAATCTATTTATTTATTTATTTTATCCGTCGTATTTAAATTTACAAAATGGACGAAAGGTTTATGGAATACACTTGGGTTATTGGATAAGATATCGCCAAGGTGGAGTTAATTTTTTAACTGATAATCTAGAATTTTTTATTTCAATATTTATTAAAAAGTGCCCGGTTATGAGAACTGATTTGGTAAAATAATTTTGGTAGAGTTACTTCGTAATTCTAGTTAACATAGTTTTAGTGGACCAAAATGAAACTTATGATTTACCATTTTTATCGTTATTAATTTACGGGGATGATGCTAAATCGAACATATATTTTTGAGGTATTAATAGTATTAAGTCATGTACCCAGAATTCAAATCAAAATAATAAAAAGTTCTTACCAGCTGTTAACCAAGTATTATATATTTAAAATATTCATACCTATCACAAAACAAAAATTAAACAGGTACACGATTTGTCACAGGATTATCAAAGGTGATTTTAGTATAGAACAAAGTTCAAGAATATGCATTGAGGGAGTTTAATTTGTTATTCATATAATTTGTAAAATATTACAAGATTTATAATTTGAGGGTTATGGCCCTATAGCTTAGTGGTCTAAGTGCCTACCCCCACAGCCAAGGTCTTTGGTTCAAGTTCTACTAGAAGCAGTTTCTAGAGTATTTAAATGCAAAACCCTGTGGAAATCCAAGTGAAGTATGAATTTGGTTTAGGAATTTCTGGAAGAAGATCCATTATGAAGAAGAATAGTATTATGTGTGACAGCAGCATCACAGAAGGTTTAATGATAAGAAGGTTGAACAAGTAAAATCCTGCAGGCAGCAAGGTAGTATCAACAACCCTAAGGTGGTTTTGAGATTTTGATTTGGGAGGGTAATACAACTGTTATACAAACTGGAGTGGTGAGAAAAGTGACAAACATAAATAGATTTGTAGTAAAGAATTAGTCTAACCAAATAAAGAATACCTCTGGCAATCTATACTAATATGAAGTAGTTAGTATAAAGAGATGCTACAGAATATCTGTGTATGTATAAAGACTCACATATCTCCGGTATAAGTTATACCTAATTAGAAGCCTTTGATAAAACACAATACCAATATGGATATACTAATTATAAACACCAACTAATACAGCCATAAGTTGGAAGTAATATTATTACACAAAATTTAATTAGAAGTAGCTCTACTAGTTAGAATTATGCTCATGTTCAGTTCTATACCAATTTGGAAAGTATATAAATAGATATACTATACATATACTCAAATGATAAGTCTACCACTAAAAGGATATAAAGATTGGCTAGATAACTAGAAGAGTGATCTGAAGATTTAACTAAGTAGAATCCTATGTATAGATAGGTATGTATACCAAATTGGAAGTACTTAGGTATAATGGCAAAAAAATTTTACCAATCTGGTAGTTTATATAGTATATAAAAAATATATTAAGGCATAACATAATAGTATAAAAATCCTGATATAGAATATAGAGTTAGATAGATCAGGTAAGGATATGTATTTGTAGATAAAATAGTCCTAAGCTAAAGTCTTACTAGTTGTACTATAGTTACCACATAATTGGTAATTATAATATATATAATAAAAGACCTAAACAAAAGATATTACCTTTAAAAAAAAAAAAAACAAATATTTATAATTGGTAAATAAATATTAAATTTATTACAAGAATGAATACAGTCAAGCCTCTATAATTACACTAGGGTTGTTGGCAAGCTGACAAGCTAAGCTTTTTTTTAACTCACCAAATAGTGATAAGAGTCTTGCCACTATTTGGCAAGTTAAAAAAAAGCTCACCTCACCAGCTTGTCAACTACCATAGATTACACCCTATATCTCTTAAACCTTTTTAAATTTAGAGCAGATCTGTTCTGAAATTTTTTAATAATTATGTATATTACAAATACACAAAAAAATAATACTATAAATAATACAATATATAAGGTAATACAAGTACTATGTGAGTTGCCAATCAAAATCTAACATTTTAGGGCAAATTTGTAAGAAAAATAGTTTAAGGGCAAATATTATTTAAACATTAATATATTATAATCTAGTGATCAGAATTTAATAATTTTGATACCATTTGATAAGACAGTTCAGATGGTATCAAAAGTTTTAAAACCAGTTCACTTGATTACAAATTATTTGCCAAAACTATTTCAGTTCTGATCAATTTACTGATAGTCATTTTATTGAATACTCATTTAGCTAATATATATAGAGTTAGAGTTAAGTATTTGATTAGTGCAGAAAATAATTGTTAATAAAGTAATATAGATAATTATTTTTGAACCTAAACTAATTTTATATATGATATAATACATTTTGGTTTGAATTCAAAAATAATTACCCATATAGACCCAATTATTTTGGTACAGAAAATTTAAATTCTGTAAAGCTGCATTGCAAATTGCTTTTTGCAAATATTTCTTGATCTAGTAAACAAAATTTAATGATTTTAACACTATTCAAATTGTCTTGTAAAGATAAATTAAATAGTATAAAAACTATTAAATTCTGATCACTAGATTATGATATATTGGTAAACCAAATTTTAAAAAAATTTCAGAGCAGATATGCAGAAGAAATAGTTTAAGAAATAATCATACCTATATATAAGTATCCAATATTGTGTGACAGACTTAAATATAGTAAAAAACTACATTATATTCACAAATTACTTATAATTACTATCATCTTAATATTTATTTTAAGGTTCAAATATAGTATAGGTGACCTCTACTCTAAAATTTAGGGTATGCACTCTAAAATTAGAGTATATACTCCAAAAATTGGGGTATATATCCTAAAAAATCTTGTTCGGCCTACTAATATAAAAAAGAGCTCTAGACCCTAAAATAGAGATCATATAATATAAA